GATCACGATCTCCCCCCCCATGTTGGAAAAACACATGAGGATTTTGGAATGTTTGTCGAATAGAGTTTGCGAAAAAGATTATGCCCTCCGAGATTTGACGGAATGGGTTAAGTTAAACAACAATAGCTGGGCGATCTGTCGTCTCTATAATGAGGCCTATTTATCTATTCTTGTTGTTGATCGCTTTACAAGCTAATCAGCGCTGGAGGAAAAAGTATCGAGTGATGCGTGAGGACTGCAAGCTACTTCTTTTCAATTTCCTTTCCCTTTTCATACTTTTTATCCCTACTCGTTTTGAAGAATTTCAGAAGCTTGCACATGTCAAAGAGAAGCAGTGAAAATACTACAGCAAAGCTTCAAGTTTTTTTTTGCATGTTCGCTCGGATCAAGTTTTTCACGTTGAAATACTTTTGTTGGAAGAAATTTATGTCTACGTTTGTTGGTTCGCTTCGACAACTTTGTAATTACTCGTGGCCCATTAGCTTTTAACGAGTGGCAATAAAGGACTTGAAAGATTACGCTCTGACTTATGAGATGTGAGGAAAGAAATTGCAGTATACGTGACGTATTGTTAGTTTTTTTTCTTCAAATTTACGTGTATGAGATTTAGTACACATGCTTATAAAATACTGAGTATAAAGTCCTTATGCTGTGGGTTCACGAATTTTGGCCTATTTAGAAAGATTTACCTACATTTACAGGGTTGAAATGACATTTGAAGGGAAAGTGTTGAAAATAAATTAAAAACAATGTATTACGATTATCCTTATTTCGAGCGTTCGATAAAAATATTATGGATCAAAATACATGATTCAAAAAAAGTATATTATTTTCTGCGGTGCCGTGATGCCTAAGAAAATTATTCGCTCTTTCGAATAGCAATTTTTATCTCGATTTTCCAGACGAAATAGCTCGCTTTTCCGAAGAAAATTTTCGAAAAGCAGCTTTTTAGAAAATACTCTAGTCACGTACGTTATTGCAAAGCTTTTGCCGTATAGAACCAAGTGAGCGACGAAGGGATAGGAGGAGCACTTTATATTTTCATATTTATAAATCAGGCAGTCGACTCGTTTCGCAAAAAGTTTTTTCAATAGTCCCGATGCTTTGCATTTCGGCTGACTACGTCGTAAAAACGGTTCGTTGCTCAACGACTTAGCGAAATAACGCACCTTGGCTATTGTTTCGAGCTCTTTTCGAGTCAAGCTATACAGATACAGTAAAGGAGAAAGGACAGAGAGGAGAGTGTAGTCAGGCTCTTGATCGATTTTCGCGCCTTAAGTGCAGGCACTTCGTCTTGGAAAATTTTGTAAGGGCAGGAGGGCAGAGCCTTACTCCTTCCCCCTTGAAACTCAAAACTCGATACTCGAGAGTCTTTTATCAACTTGGGACGAAGCTTTGCCAATTTTCGCCAGATTTGCCAGCGTCGTCGAGCTTAATTGCTCGGCTTATGCAATATTCATGATGGGCCAAATACAATTATGCACTGTTTGGCTTCGCTTTTTCGGCTCCTCGCGTTGACTTTTAAGACTTTTGGCTCCTTCATCGCTTAAATAAAATTCTATTATTCATTTATATTGTTGTTGGAACATTATTGAGAGCTTCTTTCTGAAATGCAATTACTATACCTCATTGCAACAATTTTTAATATTTATTTAGCCAATTACATCCATTCCATTTACGAAGGTTGTATCTTGCCTCGTATTTCAATAACAAGTTATTCACACGCTTTTCATGAGCATGCCATAATGTCTATATACGCAAACTAACATACAAGTATGCAAGTATTGATTCCTTCAAAAGTGATTATTTAAATAGAAATGATCTTTCATCTAATGCTCGATACATAATTTTAGTTTATGGATAATTTATTTTAACTATTATTTATTTTTTGATAATGTTCTTTAGTAACAAACTTTGAAATACAAAATGATATTATAGTATCTTTATTAAACAATAATTAGTTTTTTCATAAATAAAATAAATGCTTATTACAATATATGCAATAAGAACTTATACGAGGAACAACTACTTTCTCCTTAATTTAACCATGATCAATTGCAATTTATTTCTCTGTAGAGTATACTTGTATACCAAAAAAATCGAGACCTATTGTATTTATAAGGCAATTGAATAAACTACCAACGAAAATAATTACCATTAAATTCATGTCAGCTCGTACGAGCTTGAGCAATTAAGTTAAAAACCTAAAATTTCTCATAACTTCTAGAGTTTTGAGTTTTTCGGTAAATGTAATTTTAATAATTTTAGAGATGATTATCAACGTTTTTGATGTTGGTAGATAGTTATTTGTTAAAAAAGCCAACGTGTTTTGACCTTTAAACTCCAATCGAAAAAGTAAAGCAGTACAAAAAAAAAACAAAAAAAAAAACCGATATTTACAGTAGTAATATCAATATACGGTCAGACGTAAAACGTAACGCGATTATTTCGTCAGATTCGTTTTGACATTTCCCGAGTAAAATGTACAGAATAATCGATAAAAACGAAGACGAGAAAACGAACGAGTGCTCCCGAATAACAATCACGCGCAGATCTGAAAATCCGAATTTATTAAATCCGTCACGAGTTGCACTGACGAACGTCGCTCTCGGCGTCGCAGTCGCGCACACGATTTTCCTCGCAACTCGAGCGCACACCTAACGGAATAAGATTTGCTGGCGCGCAGCTGTTGAGGAGGGTGGGGGAGGGAGACCAAGAGTAAGCCATCGATATGTTTCGGATAAACATACGTGCCATCCCGATGCATCTGATATGGCAAAATGAGTTACGCGTATCGCACCGACGAAGCGGCGCTTCGATCCCTCGCGCGGCGCATGAAAATGCCTGCTCGTCATATTCTCTTCTCCTCCTTCTTTCTTTCCATTCTTTACATGCATACAAATATGAGTCGTTCGAGCATTGACGTACGATAACAATATGCCCCCCGTTAGACTTCCCAAAGGTACTTTTTCCTCTCTGGCTTGACGCCTACTTTCGATTTGTACACCCGAAGTCGTGGGCGTCATCGTAGAAAACATGCGCATTTCCAGTTGCTGCTGCTACTTCTGTCGCTACAGATATTAGAATCTCAAAATTCGAAAAAAACTCTGCTACCTCCGTACGTGGGAATTTCGTTTTTTTGGCGAACGAGTGATGAAATATGCACAGCTGAATCGGGACACGAAAAAATGTGGAAGGAGGGTACGGCAAAGTCAACTTTTGAAACTTTCAGAATTGCAAAGTCGAGAAAATTTTTTAAAAGTATCCCGATTGATTATTTCATGAGGCGTCCTACAGTCGATCCCAATGATGTATTGCTTTTGCATTCGTACACTTAACAAATATAAAAAAAAGTAACTCGGAACGAAAATGTAAAAAGCAAGAAAAAGAAAAAAAACGAGGCCATGGGGGTGCAGACTGTCGAGGGGTACATTAATAAGCTCGCGTCGCTTTCCGTTCGGTGGTGGGAGGGTATACGAGCGTTGCACGTGTTAGTGGCAGCGGTTGCAGCCACGGCGCGATAAATATATGCCCGAGCGGTCCCCCATAAATCGCGTGTAATTGAATTTTCAGCATCCAGAGCTGGAGAAAAGCCGGAGGGAAGACTGGTACATCGGGAGAGTGACCTCAGAAAATGGCACCGGATGTTCCTTCGCGAGCAAAGTGTGCCGTAAGCTGCCTCGATCTTGAAAAAATTTGCAATACCCAAGAGCCAATATTGATCGCAAGGAGCAAGAGCAAAAAGATGGGGGCTTTTCGGTGTGCCAGCGAGTCCTGGGAGAGCTCACTGCTCGGCCGGATATTGGACAAACACGGGATGGATTATCGGCTGGTGTCGAGGCACCTCCGGGTCACGTTAATTTTTCCGAGTCTTCAAGTTTGCGTTGCACCATGTTGTAGCTGCCGAGTCATTTCTTTTTCCCAGAAAACCAGTTAAGTATAAAATACGTGCGTAACCAAAGAACTTCGAAGGACCAAATAAACAAAAAGTTGCTCACCGCATGGTCGGTGTATCAATATAACGCTGCCACCCTCGTTGCTTGGGGAATATACGCGAAAAGAAAGAAAACAAAGGAGCAAGAAAAACAGGTGTGTCTGTGTAGCCTTCGGGAGAAAAGACCACGGGCCCTGAAGATGATAAGAATAGTTCCCAACAGTCATTTATCTTCGTACACTACTCGGTGAGCGCCTCGCTCGTTCTACCCCGATGATACTCTGATTCTTCGATAACTTACACCCCCTGTGCCCTTGTACTTCTCCTCATCAAAACAACAAGCTCTCCCCGTCTCTCCTTTCTACTTTGAGCTGTCCACTTGAATCGTGTGAGTACTTGGAAAAAAAAAAAAAAAAAAACGATTGGTATTCATACATTTTGAGATTTTATGTAGGTGCATTCAATATCAAATTTTCCGCTGCCTGAAAAACATGATTATTTCGGATCTAAGCAAAATTTGATTAAATCTAGCTTAGCGCTCGTTAAAAGGCACTAAAGGGTGACACCACCGCCGCCGTTATTACCGGGTTATATTCCTCTCTCTTTTTCGCTTTGTACTCGCCCTTCCCTGTTTTACACTTCCCTTTCCATCAAATCCGTTCTCGCGAGCCGAGACCGCCCGCGTATAATCGCATTGTCTCGCGTGATAGATTACTATGGACGCCTGCACGTCCGACGAGAGCGATCATGGGGCCCTGGAATTCGCCTACGAGCTGGTTTTCATTAGCACGTCGCATCTGCGACGAACTTTCGAAATTGCTCGAGACTGGGGTAACGACGCCTACCCTCGTTTCATCATGCGTTTTGCGAAGGTAGCGTTGAGCTCGGAGTAGAGGGCCTAGGAAGATTTAAACATCCGGAGACTGAAATTGCCCTCGATGGGTCTTTACCTTTTTTTTTCCTGTCTGATCCCTGAGTTATTTGGTGGTTCGTTGCAAGAGACTGTCACGAATTGTTTTTGTTTGGTCGATGGAGGCTGTTTTTTCCATAAAAATTCTGTGTTGCATTGTTGTTTGAGGAATAAGCGTTTATTTACGAATTGTCACGCAAACGTCTTTTACAACATTTTATACGCATTACAAAATGAATAATCATGTATAAATACATCGATTGGCATGTGCCGAGTTATTATTAAAATGCTTTTTTTTTTTTTTTCTTTGAAAATCCATCCTTATCGGGGGAGAAGGAACAGATGTATATAGAGAGTCGGATTTGCGATCGCGTGGCCTAAGGCTCAAGTATCGATGTACATGTCTCGTCGAATGCGCATGTAATAACAAGTAACGAGGCTTTGAGCCCGTATACGCGTTTCAACTGCTACTCGTGACATATACAAACTAACAGGGTTGATAAAAAATTTTTTCGTTTTTGCTGTACATTTTTTTTTTTTTTTCACATTATTTCTACCATAGTAATTACGCAAGTGCATCAAAGAATATTCAAACGCGTGAAGCATCGTTGGCAGGACATCGTCGTCCCGATCCACGAAATCTCGGTCTTGAGCTTCACGTTGTGGCTCGGCTCAAAATTAAATCGATAATCCATGAAATCGATCGAAAAACGACGGCTCGCTTACCTCGAGAAAATAAGCCAACGATTTCTCAGTAAACCTGTTATCTTTGGACGAAAATAACAATTTTTATCTGACCGTCGACGCGAGTCCCAAACCGACAGTCGAAAAGCTGCGGGACATTCGGGGCGCTCGCGTGGTGACTCGAGCGTCGCGCAGTTCACGCCATTACCAACTGCCGGGGTGTACCCACCCTTTAGCGATGTCTTATCTTAAAATTCGTTTGGCTGGAGTGCCCCCTAGGCGTCGTCGTTCTTAAGTTTTTCCGTGGTCACGGAGACCGCCTCGCTAGCTAAGCTCGGGGTGGCTTGGGGCTCGTGGATTCCCATCCATCGGCAACGCTTTGTCAGCTCCTGTCTGTACCTGATGTTGGAAAAAAAGGCTGGTCTCAGTGAATGGCTTCGTTAGGGCGCTTCTTCGAGCGAAAAAGGACTTTATTCGAATGTACTGTTTGCACCCGATAGCAGCTTAGGACTTTGACGTAAGCGTATTACTCTCGAGTGACTCCTTAATTTAATTATTTTATCGATATCCAAGGTCACTTTAAGCAGAATAACAACAAAGCTGATTACCCGTAGTTATCTCCTCTTCAAGTGTGGCATATATTTGAACAAGAGGCTAATTTTGTGGAGATGACTAATGTACGAAGTATTAGAAATATAAATCACTCTTATCGATTGTTCGCGCCTGAGGAACGATTTTTACTCGCGTGTGGACAAACTGATGAAGAAAATCAAACAAGCTCGTAATTTACCTTGGATGATTGATCGCGTAGATCCAAGGATCGATGCAGGACACAAGCTTTGCAAACACCGCGGGTATCATACTGGCGATCGGAGTGACATACGAGCTAGAAAGAAAAAAAAAAAAAAAAAAACAACCAAAGAGTTGATTGTAAGCATTTTTCAATAGTAGTATAATCAAGTGATTTTCCTCACCGATCTCCAAAGGTAGAGGCCAAAGACATAGCAGAGTACGGAGTCCACGAGCAGACGAACAAAAAGTAAATCGTAAAGGCCACCTTGGCGATTCTCATCTCGACGCTTCTCTCCTTATCTTGATTCGTCAAAGACTTGACGTTCATTTTCTTGGCCTGAAAGATCGGACGCAACCATTTATTGCACACGCTGGTTTTGCTTGAAATCGAGACTACGAACCATACGGGAAAGGACTTGCCTGGTCTTTGAGCATTTTCTCGTGCGCCCTCACCGACTTGATCAGCTGAGAGTAAAAGTACACGATCAGTGCCATTGGGACGCAGTACGCCCAGACGAACATGCACGCCACGAAAACCCTAGTGTCCTGATCCTCGGTGAGGAAGTCGATGCTGCAGGTCGTCAGGAATCCCTCTGTTATTTCCCACTCATTAAACATAAATTTCTCAAAGTTTTACAATAAATTGAAAAAAAAAAAAAAAAGCAAAAGCCATGCAATATACCTGTAGTATACCGTCCCCAAGTTTTGGTGATTGGCAAAACGGTGAATGGCAATGTCCAGATCCAGGTGATCACCACTATGAGTACAGCTTGTTGGCCATTGAGTCTCCCGTCGATCGGACAGGAGATTGTTCTGCATTGAAATTGCGTTGAGATGAAAAAAACAAAAATACAAAATAGAGGTAGACAATCTCAAAAATACCACGATCACTTGACGAGGTCAGCACCTGTATCTGTCGAAGGCAATCGCGGCGTTCGTTATTGCCGAGCCCATTCCGGAAACACCTCCGAGCGCAGCGTAAATGTCACAGCCCAGCTCCCACCCGACCACTCTGTTGTAAAAGCAGTTGACCAAGAACATCGGTATCTCCGTGGCCATCACCAGATCGAACAGCGCCAAGTTTATGATGAAGAGGTTCGACGGAGTTCTCAGTGCCTTTGATCTGCATAAATATAAAAAAACATTATCCAGTGCCACAGACTGAACTTACGTTGATGTAGAAACATCCTTGCAGTAATAAAGGAACCACTGGTACTCTAAATACACGTAAATTTTAACTTTTGTATTTTTAAAATGTCCATCCATCTTCTTTTGGCTGTAATATACGTATGAAGTAACAAGCGAGTCCTTACGTGCTGAATATGTAAACCACACATCCGTTGCCGACCAACGAGACAATCAGCAAGATGGAGTAGATGAGAGCCATGCCAATGTGCCAGAACTTGCCGATGGCCGGGAAGCTGCGCCAATGGGGATGCACGAGATCCAAGTGCTCGGGCGGGTGGTTCCACCCCAGGTACAACATCTGCTCCGGCACGTGCCTAGGGGGCAAAAAAAAAGAATCAGAATTTGTCAGGCACTAATGAACACTACGGGAGCATCAAAACTTGTATCCTCGGCCCAATCGGCCAATCCCTTCCCTCCGTTGCGCTCAATTGAGATATAAAGCGCGGAGTCATCGAGAAACTCCGGATAAAACGCGCAGACTTGGCTATCGCATCAAATGCCCGGAATGTCTTTCTCTCGGAAATATCTTGTTTCCCGGGAAATAAACGAGGCAAGAGGAATGGAGGGGGGGGGGGGTTAGGCACTCTACCCAAATCGAGTGGATCGTATACGGTAGGGGGGTGGAAAAAAAAAGGATGAGAAGAATAGAGGCTCGTAATAGACTTTTAGGTAATGCCTCTCCATCATCGTCGTCAGTCGTATTATACCCGGGAAGGATGAAAACGCGGCAAACAAAGGAGAGTCCCGGTGATTCCTCGTAATGACGGGGGCTTCCTTGGATTGAAAATCTTTATCTGCCGCCGCCGAGTGCAATTTATTCCTCCCGAGGCTCGAGCCTCCCTCGATTCCCTTTATTTCCCCATCGACAATTATCGGGTGGAAGTATGGATTGAGAATAATCAAGTTTTGGCTCGATAAAACGGGGCGCACGAGCCAATGGGTTCTCACCCGTTCATTCCAGTCATGTCCGTGAAGGGCTGAGGATTCATCACACCCTGACTGACGTTGTAGTACATCGTCGCCGCTGCTCTTTGCCGGCTTGAACTTAATTTTGTCACTGCTCCCGTACGTCGACTGTTGCGGGTAAGAGTAGCTGCAATGTAAAAAGAGAGAAAAAAAAAAAAAAAAAACCATAGAGATTAAAAATAATCGTTATCCACATCTTGATGTTCATTGTAATCACTTCACAGTAAAACTAAAAACACGGAACCGCACACGTGTAAGAGTTAACAATCACACCTCAAGTGCACCAGTGCGACCGGCCTATGCTTTTGCTCAGCATAAGTAAAACAAGGGAGGCTGCTCCTCGTCACGGATGAGCTCGAGTGGGTTTGAAGTGAGTGGAGCGTCGCGGGGACGGTGACGATTGAGGTTGCCTTCCGCAGCTCACTTGGGGCGCGAAAGAGCCGACCCTCGGCTTTTATACCGGATGGTTGGAATCGGGAAAGGCGCAGAGGAGACGGAAAAGAGTCAAGATCACCGATCGCGTGATGAATAAGCGCGTTTAATTCGATTGCGAGCGAACGGGGAAACCCTTTTGCGTTGGCCGTACTGCTGAGACAAGCCCGTCACGCGATACTTCATTTCCACACGCACGCCCGTCTCTGATTTTTCCTCCCACCTCATCGCTCGCTTGTAAATATACCTACCCTCCGAGGACCAACTCATTTTTTTCCCCATTTTCTCTCATGCCCTCCAAAACGTACAGTGTACACACACGTAGCGACATTTTACAACTGGTTATTGTTTAATGCATACGTGTACCTATGTCGATCCGTAGCGCGGATCCATGCAATTTAGATTGCTATCGGAGACTTTTACATCGAGGGATCTTGAAGTGAAGTACAAACTTTGTTATCCACATTGGGCCGATACTTGGTGAATCCGGTACGTGGGTTTGAATGCTGTCGTCGTCATGTACCTCCCTCGACGATGTAACAATCGTTTGCCTGAATGGGGTCCTGAAAACATGAAAGTTTGATGAATACATGAATAAGGGGGTGCCGCATCACTCGTTTACTAATTGGTGAAATCCGAGGGTGTTGTTGTTGCACTTGCAAATGGAGATAATGCCGTTTCGACTTTTACCACTTTTTAAGAGTCAAGAGGGGGCGTGATTATTCAGATCCTTATCGTTTCTGCCCTGGAATCAATGCCTGCGCCGAGGGGACTCGACAAGGCCTTGTTATTTTCGAATCAATCCATCGACGATTCAACAGAGCGCGTGTGACTATTTCAACGTGGCTGCGTGTACTGTGTGTACGTGTGTAACTGCAGACCCCTGTGAGTTATTCAAATCATATTGGCGTGAACCTCGTTTTCCTCCGATGATTTTCAGCTCGCGATTTCGACAATAAAAATCGCTTGCTCGATTCGCCCGGTGTTGATGGGGAAATACATGTACATGGATACGTTAAGGAGTAAGGGAGAAAAAAAATTTTTCCCGAATAATAGTAATAATAATAATGACAATGAGAATAATACACGAAGGAGGTTCAAGCAGTGGTACAATACGCGAGGATTTTTGAATTTTATTTTCAACGTCGAGCTCGTCTTGAGAGGTTACGGATAAAAAAGTTTTTGCCCGCAATTATTGTTGCCTCGCAGGCGAGTAAAGCGCAAGGAGCATCGTTGAGTTTGTACTCTCTTGTCATTTCCGGTACGTCATTCAGACACTTGACGTGTTTCATCGGCGAGCATCAGACGTTCTTTAGCACTTTGTCTTGAATGGATTATCTTATCGCTTTAGTAAACGGAAAAAGAACCAACTTACTAACTTACACATGAAACTAAAAAATGGTAGGATAAAATTACAACTTGGATCATTATTTCTGAAAAATGCATTCTTTTTCTTTTTTTCCAAGACGTATGCAAATAGACATTAAACATAGAAAAAAAGGTAAGCCTTTACAATGTAGAAATAAATGAACAGCTAAATGTTTTTTGTATCCCATAGTAGGGGTGAATCTTGGCATATGACAAATTAGGTCTCATTTTATTGTAAGAAACTTAGAACTGGTACGATTTTTACAAATATTGTACTGTCCCTACGTTTCTCTTTTGATGATAAATTCAGTTAAGTAGGCAACACGCATTTTTACTTTCAGCCCCGTTAGTAAAATTATTTTCATACGAGAAATTCAATGGTTTACGAACATCACATGCAACTCATAGTTGATAAAGCTTTCTTTTTATTTCTCAACGATAGTTACTGTACTTCTCAAAGATAAAAAAAAATCGAGCCCAAAAGTCTCTGTGAAATTGGTTTTAAAACTCACTTACCTGCCTCTCCCTTGCCCTACTTGCCTGTCAAAGACACAGCATCAATTCACATTCCTCTGAACAGTGTCGGGGGATCGGAGCAAGTTCAGTCGATCGTCGACTACATCCAGATAGTTCAAAAGCCAAATTGCCGTGAGATTATTGAGTTTCTTCAAATTTAAAGCGAGAACTCGAGAGAAAATGGAGCAGGGCACGGGTACCTGTACTTACAGGGCAAGCCATCACAAGTGGAAGATCGAAAAATAGCGGAAAGGGAGAGATGGAAAATACGTACATATATACACCCATCGATGATCAGAGAACTGGCTTTGAGAGAGAGAGGAAGGGGTGGTTCAATGATGCATGGGCCGCAACGGAGAGATCGAGAGAATAGCGTGGCCTCTCATTTGTTCCGCTCGTTTCTCCGCTCCCCTTCACCCCCCATTGGAAGACCGTAGTCGTGTAGTACAAAGGAAACCACGAAGAGCCAGTGCTCCCTCTCTTTTATGTTCCCACACACGCCTGCCGATTCCGCGGAACCACCCCACCGTAGGAATTTCCATAATTTCGGCAATTGTCTTTCAACGCGCCGAGATGAAAGGGTACACGGGCCTTTTTCCTTTCTCCCGCCCAAGGATTACACACCCCCTGCAGTTCTTCGTCCTTTTTTCGACCCAAATTTTTTTTTCCTCCTTCGGCTCGACTCGGCCTGTCTTTACCTCCACCGGGACTCTATATTTACCCCTCGCCACGTCCAAGGGCTGCTCTTTTTTCCCCCGAGGCTCTTTCAGTTTCGTAATTTCATTCCCGAGCGATCGATGAGCTGCGGGATGACAGACTTGGCGCCCGAATGCCGGGCCTTTGTGCCATTTTTCGTCGCAACACATCGAGAATGCAAACCAAATCTAATTCCAAAGGGTAAACGAATCATGATCGGAAAATGCGTTTTCCTTGGACAACGCAAAGGGCATTTCTGTCGCGGTGGGGCTTCCGCGGGTACGAGCTTTCGAAATTGGATCGGGCCTCGCGTGAGTGGAAATCCCTTCGAGAGCTGCGCGCGTAATTAGGCAGATCAAGATTCAGCGTCCGCGTGTTGCGGGGCTCGAGACAAACGAGATGATATGGCACGATTTCGAGGACACGTATACTTACGTACGAGCTTTTAGTTCGGCCTCAAGTAAGTACTAGCCGTGATGTCGTACACAGCAGCGTCTTGTAGTTGGAGGTGCAAACAAAAAAAAGTACTTGTGAACGAACAAAGCATATTAAAACCCACAAGTTGCGCATTTTCGCTGCGTAAAGTTCTTGACCCATGATCATTTGAACGCAATGAGTTCTCCTTTCGAAAGCGGAATTGCAGTTCCGTGAATAGCGTTTCTAAGGGATGGCCATTGATTAAGCGAGGGGTTATTGGACGCTTCGTTATTAGGACGGTATTCCGTTCTCAGTTGGGGGTGAAAATGCCCTCGTACACGTACGCACTTATACTTAGGTCGATGTACGAAACGCGTAGACGCCGGTACGCCGTGGCCGTGCTGGTAATGTGATAATGGTCGGTGCCTTAATTAAAGTTTCTTATTATTGTTCGTGGGATGGGAGGGAAAACAACGCCGAGGTCCACTGCTGTATATACGAGACAGTTAAGTGGGCTTTAAAATGGAGAAAAATACCTAGGATATTTTACTACTCACAATTACGCCTCTAAGTACGCCGTTTGTCTTGATTTTCGTGGAACAGTACTTGCGTTTATATATCTATATGATTTTATAGGATATAATGGGGTCTACAATATCTGTCCAAGTATTTGAATACTTAATCATGTGACGATTTCTTCATTTGTGTATGGAAATGCAAAAAAATTAGGGGTATGACAAATATTACGTAAATCTATAAAAAATAACACTTGTTTTCTTGTAAATTTCTAGGTAAGGAATACTATAGATGCTAATACGGTTCATTCTGAAATTTTTACCTGTAAAAGATTGGTTACATAATAGTTATTAACACTTCTCAACAAATTTTTTCTTATTCCTTTCTAATAAACTTGTCAGTGTAATAATCAACCATCAGCACTACATAAAATTTTTTATCGTGTGCAGCTCCCTCGCTGATGATCAGATCTGATTATACTTCTGTGTTACCATGGCACGTGTCATTTGTCAAAAAATAGCAGCAGCAACGAAAAACAGCTTAACTCGTAATTTCAGACAGGCCTATGTGACTTATGGGGGCACATGGAAAGTTTTGGCCTCTTCATACCTTGCCTACAATGTTCCCACGGGCACCTGTCTTGGCGCACATCTGGGCATAAAATATCGTTGCTAATTTCGCCTTGGCTGCATTTATCGACCAGCCTTGAATATTTTAAAGCTCCAAATGGGTCCAGACCCAGTGCAACAACTTATTTAACTGCTGTTGACAATTGTTTATTAACTCTTGCATATTTCAATCAATTCTGCTTTCTCCTGTATTTGTTGGTTTTTCATAAAGTTTTATGTGAATTTCGCTCAGCAGATAATCAATAAGTCATTGTATATTTCGATATTTATCAATTGTCTACTAATTTTAGTCTCGTCGTTTGAATATTAGCTTACCTTATTCCTAGACAGACAAACGATAAAGTAATAAATAATTACAATCAATTGTTTGTTACTTTAATACTATTTTCAAGAAATCTGTATAAAAATTACAAATACAATTTGTCTTGAAATCAGCCAAATTGACAAACAATGTCGCATTACCAAAAAATCCAGAAAAAAAATTTTACGAGTTCCTGGCAGCTCAAAGTAGTATCGAACACATTATGCGTGCTAACAGTCCTCAATCCTCGAAGATCGTATTCTAAATTAATTCGTCACTACCAATTTTTCTCCATGAAAACTGAGCTTTTGAGACTCTTATACACCCCTCCCTCCTACTGTCAACCCATGAATCGTCGTCGATCGAGTTCTGAAGGGATATACTTCTTGAAGCCTTAAAGCTAAATTGAGCGACATCTGCGTCTCCTTTCAACATCTGTCGGTACTTGACGCCACGAGTTTCCTCGCAAAATCCATACTTCGATAAATTAAATTTTCAACAAAATACGCACCCAATTCTTCACTTCTTTTCGGTAC